CCCCGCTCCCGGCGCACTCACCACCAGTGCCCGGATGCGGATGCTGTCCCTCTCACTGTGCTTGTAGATCTCCTTGAGCAGGCTGACACCGTTGGCAGTGATGAAGGAGGCACGCTTAGCCTTGTCGGCAGCGTGGATCAGTGCCTCCACTGCTACCAGCTGGTGGGCCTCGCAGACAGAGGCGCAGAGGGACAGAACGCTATCCATGATCCCCTCCAGCTCCAGCACCCTGTTCCCAGCATCCGATGGGCCCTGCAGCAGGCACGACACCGTCTGGATGGCCCGCAGCTTCCCAGCCAGCTCGTGCCCCTCGAACCAGCTCCTGCAGGGGAAGACCACCAGGAAGGATAACGCTGATCCTGCCCACCGCCTTCAGCCACGTGCAGCCCCACCTGCTGAATCCCAGCACAGCAGGTCTGAGGTGGGTCTATACAATCTGCTTTTATCACTAAGAGCAAAAAGGTCTGGGGACAGGGGTGCTGCTACTTCCCCAGAAGGCTGCTGGCTGTACGAGACTGAACCTCCCCTCCGCCCCCAAGGATGCCTAGGCTTACCTCACGTAGTCCTCACACAAGTGGTGGAAGTTTTCCCTCTCAGCATCGCATTTCAGGTCATCGTAAAGTTTGCTCAGCAGAACCGAGGCGCTCATCCGGCTGTTCTCCGTCACGGGCAGGCTGCCCGGGGTGCCGCACACCGTACTTCCCACCTCCAGGATCTTCTTCAGGCCTAGGAGAACGCAAGGTCAGACACTCCAGTGAGGAGCAAAACGGGGCGCACAGGCAAAGCCAAGGTGCGTGGCACCGCAAGGCAGAGGGGCACGACGCCCCAGCGGGACACTGCAGGCTGTTCTGCTCACCCTGGTCGATCACCCAGAGGCTCATGCTGTTGTTGGTCTCCTTTGGCGACTTCCGGGGCACCACCTTGATGAGCAGGTTGAGCGCATTGTCACGGCCGTGTGCAGAGGCCCCTTCCAGCGCTAGCAGCTCCAGGAGGTGCTTGATCAGCAGTTTCAGGTCCTTGGAGGAATCTTCCAGAAAAGATGGTGCCCAGCAGTCAGCACCCTGGGCACAGGCCTCACCCCCCGCCGACGTAAAGCTGGCAGGAGATGCTGCCATGACCGGAGGCTCCTGCCTCCCAGCTCAACCTCGCGTTAACCCTGGGCCAGAGCCCCGGCTCTGCAGCAGGGAATGGTGACAAGGCGCGCAGCGGGAGAGAACGCACCGCAGCTCAGCACGCACCGCAGCTCAGCGCCTCCCCAGGGCGCTCTCCCCACCCCATGCCAGCCAGCCGGGGCGGCAGGCACTCACCCAGCACCACCGCATCCTCCTTGCCACGGAAATCCTTCTGCAGCCCCTCCTTCAGGGAATCGAACATCACGTGCAGAAGGTTGCAAGCAGCCAGGGAAACATGCTCATGCTCCACACCCAGCACCGCTGAGAGACGAGGGGCCCCCAGGTCCGCCAGGATGGCCATGGTCTGCCGGTACAAGCACAACTGTCTGCTGGAGACTTCAGGGAAGCCTTAGTACTTCCCAGCACCTTATCAGGACGGTTCTCTGTCACGAGGCTCGAAACTCAGGCCTAGCAGGTGACAGTTCAGAGCTCCTCTGCTCAGCAGGGCTGCAGCCAGAGGCCAGCGACACTCCGCTGCCTGGCACGCTTTGCAGCCTCCCCAACATCCATTTCCCCTGGGCCACGCCCTGTCACACAGGAGAACTGGGCTACAGAGGGACCTACCCGGGAGCGGTGCCCGGAGCACAGCCCCACCAGGGTGCGCAGGGCCGCCAGCATCAGGTCAGCCTTGGCCGTGTCGAGCAGCTGCGTCAGCAGCCGCACACCATCGCTTTGGAAGATTTTCTCTGCTCCGGCCTCCTCTCGTGCCAGCACAATCAGATTCTGCGCAGCCTGGGAGAGAAGAGTTGTGTCTGGGTCACCTGCCCACCAGAACGCAGACCACCGTGCACAGGGGAACCCCCGAGCAGGAGCCAGCTCCGCAGCCAGCGCAGCCGCAGGCACCAGCCTTCCGCCCCAATCTCCAGGGAGCACGTTCTGCTGGCGGGAAGCCCAGCCTTGCCCAGGCAGCACCATTCGGCCAGCAGCGCTGACCTGGGAATACCGTTCCTCTCCTCCTCGCCTTTCAGCCAAGCCATGTTGCCCTCCGATCCCCAGAGCTCAGACCTTTTGCTTCTTGTCTGCATCCTTTTCTTCAGGATCCAGCAAGATCTGGAACATCTGCTCTACCTTCGAGTCCGTGCAGGACATGGTCTTCATCTGAGACAGAGCAGAAACAGCAGCTCAGCCCTCACCACCTCCCTCAGCCCACTACACCCATGGTGGGGGCCCCCACCCCCCAACGCTGCCTCCCCGCTCACCTTCTCGTGCATGCTGCTCCCCAGGGCACGCAGGGCCTCCTGGAAGGCCTTGTTCTTGGGCTCCAGGCTCACACACCGCTGCAGGTCACTGACAGCCTGGTCCAGGCGGCCCAGCTTCTGCAGCGCCTGGCTTCGGCGGAACAGCGCCTTCATGTCCCGGCCATCGGCTTCAATGGCTGTAGATGAGCGGGGGATCTATTGCAAAGCCCCTGGACTGCTCCGGTCTGCCCAGACAGGCAGCACACAGAGCCCAGTCCCCTGCCAGCCACCACTGACGGTACCTTTAGATGCATCAGCCTCTGCCTTGGCGTAGTCCTCCTGGGCAGAGAGAGAGAATCAGTGAGAGGGAAACATCTGACGTGCTGCCCGTGCAGGCCTCGCTCAGCCCAGCCTGCTGCAGGCACTGGCAGCAGCCACCGCTTTAGAGAGGGACGGAGGGGAAAGG